AACGATTTACTAACCTTCCACCATTAGCTTTCGAAGAAGATCAGCTGCGCTAATAACATCAAAGTTATCCTGATCGTCGGCTCTTGGGATTTTGCAGCGCGTGTAATCAAACCCATACACACGTAAGCTCAACGATCGTTGTGCACGTTCGTTAGCTTCTATTGCGCGGACCGTGTCTTCTAAACGTACTTCGATTTGGGATGCACGATTTTCCAGCCGTTCTGAGTCGTTTTTGATACCAGTCGACTCCTAGAATGCACAAAACATTAGACTAATCGAGAGGGAGGAGACAGAACCGATCTAATGACCGGAAATGTTGTGCATGCTGCAAAGCAGCATGCCACATGTGGTTGGAGTAGCCAAAAAACTACTCCATAATTTTGATGTAGCGCGCAATGGCTACATCCGCGGCAAGAGCAAGTAATGTCGGTAGTGCAACACTTAACGCATGCAAAAAAGGTAAAAGGATGTTAAAAATAGTGGGGTCATTACCCCAAAATAAGACCCAGGCTGGAACGCACCAGGCGAGCCGGTGCGATCATGCACTTTTGCATCAAACTTTGAAGTGCCGTCTCTTCTGGAGGGGGGATGGGAAGAAAGAAGCGGATTCCACATTATGACACCATTCAGCTAAAGAAGGGTTTTTGAGAAACAGTGAACGTCTAAGTGCACAAACCCTCTGTCGGAGACATAGGTGGATCCAAGGGGCGGCAGTGGGTCTTCCACTCTCTCCTCCCGCCCGGGCCGCACAGGCACCAGTGCTGCAAAAGTCCGGGTCCAAAACTAAAACTATTTAGAAAGAAAGGTTAACTCCGAGCGTGGATTCAGCGGGTCATCTGCGTTAAAAACGCTGACAAAAGGTAGTCAAGGGACGCAAAAGATTACAAAGTCTAAACGTGCTTTCTATCAGGTGCAACACCGAAGTAATGAGTGCACCGGATTTGCAACACTTGACAGTAGGCGAGGGAAAATTGGAGAGCTCCAGCTCTGCTACAAATGCATGCAAAAGGGCATCGAGCAAAAGAGTGTAAAATCGAGCTGCGTCCATGCTATTCGTGCAGGGGAAGACATCATTCGGCTTTGTTTCACGAAGTTTTCAAGAGTGATGAAAAAAACGTAAGTCCATATAGCGGGTGTAGATGTCCAGCAGTACAAAGTAATGAATCTCTGACCATATCCAGTATAGCAGAATCAAAGATTCAGCAAGTTGAAAACAGCCCACACCCTTAGTCCGAACAAACCGTTCTTATGAATAAAATGATAGCGATGAGAAATCCTCGTGAGAGAAACAAGAGATGATTAGCATCTTTGTTGTTCGACTTGGGCAGCCAAAAGTCGTTCATAATCGAGAGCCTAAGTAAGGAGCTGCGACTAAGCCTAAGTAACTGTGGCGAATCCCAAGAGTGCTCGACTGTGTCCGGATCTGGTGAAAGTCTGACCAAGGAGAATGACAGTAGGAAGGTGAAAGTAGCAATAGAACTGGAAAATGAAAAATTCAAAGAAATTACCTGTAATACGGTACCACACATAACCAATAGTCTCAGAATGACCATGGTTTCGAACACCGTCATCGGAAAACTGTTGCAAAGTCAAAATCTCCCATCAATCAGGTGTGAACCGCAAATCTTGGTAGGCATCGACTATGCCTTTCAATTTTTATGCGTTTTTGCTGTGCAGCGCTATAGCTGCTACAACCAGCAATAACGCATATTGTCGGAGGCTGTCTCTGTGTGTGTGTGTGT